CTTGTGTGCTTAGAGAAAGTACCAAGGAGGCCTAGGAAATGAACTCTCCAATGCATAGGTTCTTAGACTAGTCATAATGGAGAACACAGGTAGTAACATGTATCCTCATGCATGCTTTAAACTAGGCATATTTGTGTCATGACATACTATAAAAAGAGCAAATAGATGATGGTAGTCATATATTATGTTACCATCACACATCGTTTCTAAAGAAAAAAAATGAGTTTACAAGCTAATAAATGCAACCATCTATGTTATTACCTCTATGATACCGAGAGAGGATTTTGTAGTTAAACTGGTTTCTACCGGGTCCTGCATGCATGCAAGTGTGCACATACACATATGGGATACGAAGTATCAATTGCTATACTATGCATTGTGTGACCCATGTACATCATACTAACATCTCACCCTGACGTGTCGAAGAGCTAGCGAGTAGGCCCCATGACAAAGTGACTAGTGGGTATGTTTGTAGTCAAAGAGGTAATATGATATCTTTTGAATCAACCCACAAAAGAGTTACATCCTACCCACCCACGCTTTTCAGTTTGTACCAATTATATATTTTGAACAAAATATCCGATTGACAAACCATTTGGTTAGTTTTCACAATATTTAAATCTTCACAACAAGATCAATTTTGAACACGCATGAAAAAAATCAAATTCAAATTCTGAAACCATATTGGAACTTTTATGAAGCTATTACATGTGTGTTTCATTTTATTTTTACATGTTTTTTTTCCGACTACATGGTTTCGCCACTTTTTCGTTCCGGATTTGAGCACTTTTTCATTCAGGTTTCATTTCTATTTTTGGAGCTTTCAAATAAGTTTTAATATCATTTTTTTAAATTGTCATTCATGGTTGGGCAAGCTCTAAAAGTGTTCTCTTCACATATTTTCTATACGATATCATTTCCATATCATCGCAATTTTACATGTTTTTATTATTTATTCATACATCCCCCTTTGCATGTTTTCACTCGTTGTTTCATTCCACAATTCATCCATGTTTCATCTCTGATTTGATATAAGTTTCATCATGGTTTATTACATTACCTTTTGCATGTTCTTCATTATTGGTTCACTAAAGGCTTAATTGTCGTTTCATCGCACATTTCAGATAAGTTTCATTGTGGTATCGAATTTGAGTTAAAACTTGTTCAGAACATTTCCATGTTTGACGATGTTTTAAAGATTCAAATTTCATGAACACAAATCTGCAAAATTGGTTGAAAAGTTAAAAGATTTACAAATTTTAGAATCAAACTCAAAGTATGAGTGAATGGACCATGGGATGAAAAAATAAGATAGACTGAGTGCAATAAATTTCTGCTCCTATACAGTGGGTCCCATGAAAGTAGTAGAATTCAGTAGAGTACTAAGGCTAGTCATAGTGGGAGTAACTTAGGTGGTAACATAGTGCATTTCGAGAAATTTTTGCTTATGTGGCAAATAGTTAATGAGAGGTGGTAACATAATATGTTACTGTAACATAGCTCTTCCCAAAATAAGATGAGTCTATAAGCTATTAAATGAAACCACTTATGACACTACTACTATGTTACTTTGCACTATGAAGATAGTAACTTAGCCTAGTGTCATATGCATGACACTAGTATAAGTTACTCTCCACTATGACCAGCCTAAATATGCAATATGCACACGTGCACACATGGCTACTAGTGCACTGTCTCTTAGCACATTACCATAGAAGATATAAAAACTTGGGAGACAACTAGCCCGATGCATTGTTTCTTAAAAGTTGTATCGAAATTTAGTGAACTAGCGCTCATGCATACATGTGATTGCGATAATACAGTCTTTTGCCAATGGCCACATGCAAATGTTGTATGTTAGCTATGTTACGTCCTCCCACTCTTTATTAGAGCATCTACACTCGTTCGCCCCCCAGCGCATGGGCCAGCGCTTTTTAAGCCTTGGAGGCGATCAACCTCCCAGCCACGCCCCCAAGTGCCGCCCCCAAGACGCGGCAAATTGAAACTTGGTCGTTCCCGCTCCTAAAAAAATGCCACAAGTCCGGCGATCAACTTGCCACAGTTCAGCGATCAAATGCAAAAGTTTGGCGTGCAAAAAAAGAAAGGACGCGTGGGCAACGCATCAAACGGCGGGGTCGGCCTCCGGCGTTGGCGGAGTCGGCGTGCGCGGGCTTGGCTGCGTCGGAGCTGCTTCTGTGCTCGGCGGCGTTGGCGCGGCTTCTGTGTTGCTGGGCGTCATGGAGGCATCATCGCCAGGGCTTGGCAGATTCGTTGGCGTGTGCGTGGGAGTTGGAGGCGCCGTCGTCGTCAGCTGGTTCAGGATGAGGCCGCGCTCTGCCAGGTACCACGCCTTCAGCTGCTCATCGTTGCTCTGGAGCATGTCCGCCCGGCCCATCAGGAAAGCCAGGTCGGTGTTCCTCTTCTTCACGGCGACGTTTGTCCGGAGTAGGTCGATCTTGACTGCGCTGTTCGTCATCAACACCAACCACCGCGCCTCGGTCCTCTCTTCACGCAGGGCGGCGCGGGCCTGTGCGTCATTTGGATAATCCCATGCCATTTGTTGCACGCTGTTTGGATGAGCCCCCAATGGTTCATCATTGCCTTCGACCCACGCTGCATGTAGACGCCTTTGAAGTAGGGGTCGACGAGCTTGCGCTCGTCGAACTCAGCCTTGATGCGGTCCCAATACGTGTCGATGTTCTGGTTCGTGCCGGTGATCGTGTCGAGGCAAATGACTTTGCATGCTTCGGTGAGGCACTCGTCCTCCTTGGACGGCCACTTGATGCGCGGCTCGCCAGTCTTGGCCGCCCGGTTCTTCTTCTTCCGTTTGCTCGCGGTTGCAGGCACCGTCTCCTCCTCCTCCTCCTCCTCCTCCTCCTCCTCCTTCGGCTCGTCCTCCTATGGCTCCTCCTCGCTGTAGTCAAGCTCGCCGTCCATATCGCCGTTGAGGTCCATTGTGTCGTCCTGAGAAGTGAACCCGGGGGACGCGGCGGCGGCGGCCGAGCCGGCCGTGATGATGTCCCCCATATCGGCCTTGGTCTCGTCGGTGTCGCCGAGATGCGACGTGGAGGCTTGTGAGAAGGGCAGCGCGCCACGGCGGAGAGGGGGTGTCGGGGAGGATGTGTAGGCCGGCGGTGAGTAGGTGTACGGAGGGTACTGCACGCCGGCGAAGGCGTGCGCTGGGCCGGGTGACCATGGGGGAAGGTGATGTTGGGGTTGAACCCGCCGTGCGTGTCACCGTCGGCGTAGCCCGGCGATGGTGTGCAGCCACAGGGTTGCGGCGACGAGAGAAGCCGATAGGAGAACTGACGCTCTGCTGGCTCTAGGGCACGTACGAGGCGTGGCCGCCGGGTGGATTCATCATCCCGGCGCGAGCAGCGATGTCCCGGGCCTTCTTGGCGTTGGCCCTGTTTCGACGGTCGACGGTGACAGCCTCCCAGCGCTGAACTTCCGCCCTCAAGTCGGCGTTCGACATGCCCGGGGGCTTGGACGGCGGCGCCCTCGGCTTCCTCTGCTTCGGCTGGGCGACCGCGGCGGCCGCGCCCGTCACGCTGCGGCGGGGGACCACGTACTTCTTCGGCGGCATGACGGCCGGCTGGGAGGGGAGGAGGAGGAGATTGACGGGAGGAATGGAGAATGCGAGGGAAGCCGGGGGGGAGCGGGAAGAAACGACGGGAAAAGGCCCTCCTCTCGCTGATGGAGCGGCCCCACGCCCCTTTTCGCTTGTGCCGGCGCCCCCAGGCGCCCCCCAGCGCGTCGGGTTCTCGGATGTGCCGGTTGTTATTTCGGTCCAAACCGGCGCTAAATGAGATCGTGGGGGTGCAACTGGGCCGATTTTCACCCGTCGGCGCTGAAAAATCGTCTGGGAAGGGCCTGTTGGGGGCGCGGCTGGA